GGCTGGGCGACTCCGGTGACGCAGCGTGGTGTGGCAGCACGGGTGACGAACATACGGAAGTCACGTCCTCGCTGAACTGTAACATGTAAGAGCAGCGCGCCTGCTGCGTTACATACGGTCGCTGCCGCCGCCGCCGCCGCCGCCGCGCGTCACGCCGCGTCACGCCGCGTCACGTCACGTTACGGTGCGTCACGTCACGTTACGGTGCGTCACGTCACGATACGGTGCGTCATGTCATGTTACGGTGCGTCATGTAGCCTGTGCTGTCATCCTGCGTTCGACGGGCGCACATAGCCAGCATGCTCACAGATATAGAAGCAGCACCGTAGGGGAGAGGCTGGGGAGGGATGCAGTAGGGGTAGGTGGGGAGAGGCTGGGGAGAGATGCAGTAGGGGTAGGTGGGGAGAGGCTGAGGAGGGATGCAGTAGGGGTAGGTGGGGAGAGGCTGAGGAGGGATGCAGTAGGGGTAGGTGGGGAGAGGCTGAGGAGGGATGCAGTGGGGGAAGGGTTAGGGTTAGGGTTAGGGTTAGGGTTAGGGTTAGGGTTAGGGTACGTATGGTGTGATGACACACCTGTGATGACACACCTGTGAGAACACCTATGAAGACACCTGTGAGAACACACCTGTGAGAACACACCTGTGAGAACACATGTGATGACACAACTGTGATGACACCTGTGAGAACACATGTGATGACACACCTGTGAGAACACCTGGACCGGCACACCTGTACATTACCTGTGAGCTGGGAGTGAGTCGCTTCGGGGTCAGCGGACTTTGCTCGCTGCCGTCCGTCAGCACGCTGTCATGGCTGCCGCACGATGTGATTGGCTGCCGAGCAACAGGTGACCCGTGGATGGCCACCAATCGCGACGGGTCGATTACCTCCGGCATGCGGGACCAGCGGCGGCTGTGTCGCTGGAACTTCCATCTGTCGCTGAGAGCACACGGGTCCTCCTCATCCGAGTCCTCCAGCTATGCAGATGCGGCAATTAATGCTAATTACTTAAACAATTAATTAAATAATTTAATTAGTTGAATAATCGTTGATTAATTAAAACGATATAACGATGATTCATTATTTAATGTTAGGCTTACTTAATTATTCGTTAATTAATGATTGTCAGATGTTTATTAATCATTACGAATGCCGCATAGCAGCATCAGATCAACATGTGTGCGTGCGTGCGTGCTCTCACCTGTCTGACGGGGAGCTTGTCGATTCTCATCTTGGCACACTTGTTGAGTATGTTCAGACGTCGGTAGAGAGCCTGTATCGAATCCTCGTCCAAGAAATCATGATCGCTGCCAACTGACGACACGTCTATAGGAAAGTCCTGGTCTACAGATACAGAGAGGAGATATATATATATATATAATATACAACAACGCTGCAAATATAACATCATCACAGTAACATAATACCATGCAACCAAACAATGCTATACTAACCCCGTCATACAATTAAGTGTCTCGTATAACACGTATATCACAACATCGTATGCACAAACAGAAATATTATACATATATATATATATATAAATATATATACACATGCATGTACATAGTATGTTTAATATATATGGACATGGAACGCACACGCGCGCGCACTAACACGCACACACATGTGTACATATAGTATGTATATTGAACAGTGAACACACACACGCACACACACGCGAGCGCGCGCACGCACGCACACACACACCACACACACACACATGCACGCACGCACGCACGCACACACACATACACACACACACACGCGCACGCACACACACACACACACACACACGCACACACACACCACCCGCGCGCGCACGNTGACGACAGCTTCATGTACCTGGCCTGAGAAAGCACCTGTGAGGCACCGCCTCTCCGCCTCGCGCCCCCGCCGACAATGACAATGACGATGACAATGACAATGACGATGACGATGACAATGACGATGACAATGACGATGACAATGACAATAAAGTCGCGACTCGTGTCGTTAGGAAACCTGCCATCTTATTCGTCGCTCGTACACGACGCCTGTCGCTCTTATACGCGTTGTTTTACTCGTAGTACATCTCCCGTTTGTTATTACTACTACTGCTCTCTCTGTCTCTCTCTCTCTCTCTCTCTCTCTCTCTCTCTCTCTCTCTCTCT